CAAAATGTATTCATGCCTATTTGACCACCAGAAGAGGTTTCTTACACACATGCATTCTGTTGAGTGGGTCACTTTTTTTTTTTTTTTTTTTGCTTTGTCTTCCTGAAACAGACATTGCAGCAGTGTAGTGATGAAACATTTGGCAATACTTCAGAAAACTGTCATTTTCATTGTGACTCTGTGGCCATTGTGTTCCACTGGACTGGAGACACAATATACAAGTGCCAGTCCGAGCATGGCACTCACACTTATGGGTGCATATCCAGAGGTGTCGCCAGTGATCAATTGTCTCTTTGTGCTGCGAGAACACAATTGTTGAGAGCAACAGCAGAGCAGCCAACTGGTTAAAGGGCTCCTGCCTCTTGAACAACCTCTTCATTTGGTAGCCAACATGGGACAGTCTCAGATACGTTCCCATGAAGTCCCCCCTGTTTGGGCTAAGCCTCCTTCTCCCAGGGCGTTGTGCGCCCTCCGCCTGGCCGAACCATCCCAGAGATTCTGCTGTCACCACCAGCACTACGGCTATCCTGAGAGAGCTATGAGCTACTCGCCCCCTTACTCACCGAGTCTGTTCAAGAGGCCAGATCGGCGGTAAGTGGGGGGCAGCTGAGGGCAGACAGTTTGTCTTGTGGCATGACAGTAACACGTGTCAGTGATGGATGCAGCCATTAAAGACAGTTCAGGAAAAGACAAATGATAGCAGGACTGCATCAGTGTCTAAATGATGCAAACGTGTGGAAACAGTATTTGTCATGAAATGGCTTGGATTAAAATTCCACTTAAATATGGTCGCACTCGGAGTCATTTGAAACGGTAAACCGTGACACTTTTCTTAATGATCAATCCTGCCACATAGAAAGGAAACAATGCTGCAATCTATTCTCTATACTGACTTTGTGTAAGGCAATGTTCTGCCATATTAACACATCTCCTGCTGTGTTCATTAACCTTGGTGAGCATGTAGATGATGAATTTCCACTAGTGGTGAATTCGGTACATTCATACAGTATGCACTCTGTTGGCCTTTGTGCTTGTAGCAGGCAGAGAATAACAACGCCGGTAGTCTCATCTTCTGATGAAGCCTTACATAATGTAATATTTCGTGCAATCTGTGTGCAGAAAATGACAGCCTGTTAAATTTATTGAAAAACCTCATGAGAAAGACCAAAGCTATGTGCCATGTGCTATTCATGGCTCAGAAGACTTCGAGTAAATGTGATAATAATGACTGCCTCTGGGTGTCCTGTACAGTGCTCAGTATTCAGTGGTTGTAACCTGTCCTGTTGCCCAAACTGGCAGAGTCCTCTGAGACAGCCTCTGGCCACAGCCTGTGGCAGGCCTGTTTTCTCAGGCTGCGCTATCATACATGTCATACATTCCTAATTGTGAGTGCAGATGGGTCACACAGTAAAAAGATGAGGAAAAAGTGTTCTCTCTGGATGTTATCGGCATCATTTATTATTATGCTGCAGCAAAACAGCAGAATTCTTACATGTGTCAAAGCATCAGAATGCTGCTTACAACAAAAACTGGGTTCTGACGGGATGTTCCAGTCTCATTTTTCTTCAGCCACTGGTACATATGAATCACTGTGCTACATTATATAATGCGGTTGGCTCTTGTGCAAGGGACATCTGATGGAAACCATCGCCCATCGCCTAGCTTTAGAGTGACTCACTGGATTTGGCACATGTCAAACAAAACATGGTCAGGCAATAAGAATTCCACAACAATATGAGGGACTTGATCTCTTTGAAGTTAAAGTAGAAGGGCCTATGTTGTGTGTGTACAGTAAATGCTTTTGATATTACATTTGTGTTAAACTGTGAATATACAAGCAAAGTTCTGAGTATCCTAGTTCAAATTCTCACCCTCCATCTGCATGTCGATCTACTGTGTCTTGAACAATGCAGAAAGGCTCCCACTGTAGTTTTCATCTGTGCATCTCAGCTGAGCCACAGGCGATCGGTGTGACTCCCCAGTCCAAAATGGAACTGTTAGCTAAGGTGATTCACAGCCCTTCATCACTAGAACAGAGCCTGATATTGAACTTGGCAGCTGTACTGTCACAGCATGAAGTCTGAGACGACAGGCACTATGGGCCTTAATACCCAGTCAATGTGTTATCTGTTCAGCCACCTTTGGCCTACCAAAAATCAGCCTTTCCACTCTAGTTGTTTTGTTACATAACAGAACTCCCTTTTCTAGAAAAAAAAAACATGGCAGATCTTGTCCATGTGCCAAGGAATTTTGCAAAGATACAAAAGTAGAGGGCCCTGGGTCATCTGCTGTCACTTTAAATGCCGGTGGACTTATTGTATATGGTGTGACCAATTTCCCACTATGCTATGAGCTAAAAACATGTGGACTTTATCTAAACTTTAATCACAGTTTATAGTGTAGATAGAATAGTGTAAATAGAGCTATTATTCTTTATAAGCTATGTCCAAAAAAAGAATTTTAAAGGATATGTATGAAGAAAATTTAACAAACACTAGTCCTGGGTATAAGACACATTCAGCAAAATGAAAAAGAAATCCATAAGAGACATTTTGACCAGCTGTTAATGTTCTATAGGTCACTGTTGTTCTGGCAGAAAAAATAGTTATGCAGCAGAAACTGAATTGGCTTAATGGGAAGAGAATGTTACAGCTGAGAGACGCTAGGCAACTGCACTGAAGTTATTAAAACCTGCATGGACAGCTCAGTGAAAACAGTCTGCTGCTCAGCCACTCTCAGAGTTCAGTGGCAAAAATCTGCCGGTGAAAACAGAGGTGGCAGCAGGAAGGTTTTACTGTGCGTTGACTTCTACCACAAAATGTTTATTACATTTTGCAGGAGGCTTAGTGATCTTGCATCACTTGTAACACAGAAGTTCAAAAGACTTTCTGTATTTTAACAGGTCGTTTTAGAGCCAGGGCGATTCCTGTATGTCAGGCCAGTGATACTAAATATAACTGTGGTGATAAACACAACAAATATAAGTCTCTGTTGCCCTAAAATGTCCTGAACCACATTGCTGTTTAGTCTACACATTAGGGTGAATTGCAGTATGATAAAAAATAATGGGTAAAGGAATGCATATTATATGGTCTATAAACAGGGTGATAGCCTGAATAAATGCAGTGTCCTTTGAGTAATTCTCATATATTTTCTAAGCTAAAAAACAACCCGAAATTGCCAGACATGTTAAAGTACTAAACCAGGAAGAGGTATATGGAAAATTCCTTGGTAAACACAGTGTACAGGAACAGAGCCCTGCTATGATTTGTGTATCCTGTTTACAGCTGCATTATACTGTTTCACCACTAGAGGTCGATGGAGTACAGTTAGGGGAAATTTACTGAGAGAGGGGACGGAAAATTATTTTGTTTATGCACATTATCTAGTGTATGCATATGTGCAAATAGTGCAGGACATCCCTTAACGGAATAGATCCAAAACAACAACAACAGTGCTGAGAACAAAATGTTACTGTTGTTGATACAATGTAGCCTAAATAATCAAGAACAGTTTGCAGACTGCTTTAAAGTTGTAAAGGTTTACACTTGTCAAATCAAAAAAGGGAAACATATTTTAAAATTAAATTACCTAGGCTATTTAAAAGAAAAACATCTCTAAAAGTCTCTTGTTAAATAAGTTCAGTGATTCACATGAAAAATCAGATGAGACAAAGGCTTTTGGTACAGTATGGGACTGTACCAGATGTGTTTATTAGCAACACGACAGGCTTATCTACAGAAACCTATTCTGGTTAGAGCTATTTTGTTGGATGCTGTGATGTTTGTTTCGATGATTTCGGCTTGTGGCTTAACTGCAGAGACAGAGAAGTTCAGAAGCAGAGTACATGCTGCATTCAAACGCTCCTTTTAAACTCGTTATTTCGAATATCGTTTTTTTTTTACTACTAATAATTTAATAATACAACCTGAAATTCATTGGTTTTACTGACCTTTGCTTTATTTAAAGCAAATGAATATAAATGAACTGGTTTAGGTACGTACTTTGCACTGCATTTCAAAATAAATAGAGATAAATGCATTGTTTTAGTTGACAATAACGCCATGTTGTTTTGGCTTTAATTGGTTGTTGACTGTCATTCATCAAAAAATAACAACTAAAAAACACCCTTAAAATAAAATTCAATCATACTGTCAAACAAGCATGGACTACTTTAAGTGCGTCTATCCAAGATATCACTTATATTATATTTATAATTTGTAGTTTCTGTGTTTGTACAGTGGTGGTCATTCAGGCTATCTTTTCCATAAAAAAGTTAATGTTGTGATATCAAAAATTATATTTTTCTATATTTTTCAATTAAAGTAAAAACAGCATCAAATGCTACTATTGGGTAATTAGCAGTCTATTGTTTCTTTCACAAACTACAGTAGCTCCGGTGACATTAATGCATTAACCAAGAGGCATTTCATAGTTATAGGTTTTATACTCCAATGCACCATATTTTTATAGCTATATGTGTTATATTTTTTAATCTTTTTTCTGTATAACAACAATAACACAGGGCAAAAAAACACCCCCTGAACAGTATAATAGAAGTTTCACAGAGCAGCAGGAGCCGGAAAATACTTGAGTAGGCCTATTAAAACGTTACCAAATGCACTTTATTATCCCCTCCTCTAAATTTATTATGTAAAAAGTTGAGGTGGGGGTGTATTTTTCACACTCCTACATGGCCCTCTTCCTAAGTACGATCTTTCTTACGGTCCGTGAAGGCACCATAAAAAAGCAGGCCCGCCAACCCATTTCCCTAATGTCTGCTCGCGTCAGATGACGTCAAGAGGCAAGTCGTTGAAATAGCAGTCGGCGGCAGAAATAGCATCAGACAGTCGCTTGTGAAAACCGGCGAAGCTAACACACAGACACAGCACTGCGCTCCGCTGGAACCCACAGCGAGTTCGTGCATCGCTATCGAAGACGAAATAAATCCGGATATACAATTAGGTAACCAACCAGTCGCAAACGTGGCGAGAAGTATATTCCAAACGAGTCTGGTACTGAACATGAGTACGGAAATGTTCGCTAAAACACCAATGGAGGTGGCCGTGTACCAGTTACATAACTTCTCCATCTCTTTCTTCTCCTCACTTCTGGGAGGAGACGTTGTGTCGGTCAAACTTGACAACAGGTAATTATCCGATACAGTCACCACATGATTGAGTACAGTATGTGGTTGTTAATATCTTTATTTTGTTACAATTCGGACTGAGCACATGCACGTTCTCGTTCTTCTGCAGGTGTTCAGATATTGCATTTTTGTATAGATTTCAAAATAAATGCAAACGCATGCGATGTCTGGCCGGAATTATATTTTTCCAAACGTTTCCAAATGGTGTCTATCAAACAGTTTTTCTCACTGCTGCTGTTTGTTTGGACTTTGACCTGATGTCTGAGCAATGCTATTTATTGGGTTTGTTGTACTGTGACTCAGATAAAAGCCTAATCTAACGCTCAAAACAATAAACATGCGGTTTATAGACTAGTTCTCAGAAATGAACTTGATAACAGCTGTGTAAACCCGTTTCCTTTCTGTTTTTCAAGGGACTTGAACACCAGCATTTTTCTTTTCGTTTCACTTTACTTTAGGTCAAAGGCTATGAATTCTTAACCCACAACTTGTTTTCTTCTCCTTTGCAGTGCCTCTGGTGCTAGCGTTGTGGCCATCGACAACAAGATTGAACAGGCCATGGTAAGCTGAGATAACACACAGAAACCTCATGAAAAGACACAAGTAAATGTTGCACTATACAGTACATTAACTTGTTTTCAAGGAAAGAGTTCAGATCTCAAAGTGAATGAAAACTACAGTGCACAATAAGCATTTAACAACGAGCTGATTCTAAGGGTTTTATAATCACTAGATTTGCATTATGTACATAAGCATGTATATAACACTCACCTCCCCTAAAATGCTATGAACCCAATGCGTTGCTCACAGACCCAACTCTATTTGAGTGCAATGGGAAGTTCCTGTTATGTAAAAGCAGCACACACCACTGTATGCTTTGTTCATGTGACAAAGTACAAAACAAGTACTGGGAATGACGGAAGGAAGTCTAAGAACAGGCCGATAACAATTTTACAGCACAGAATGATTCAGTCAGAGTTGTATAACGTGTACTGTACACAGTTAGTAAACATGTCTTCTAGCACATGCATCAGCTGTGTAATCGAGAAAATCAGCCTTAAAAGGCTTTATATCTGAACCACTCCATCTCTTCTTTGTTGTCACGACAGGATCTTGTCAAGAACCACCTGATGTACGCGGTGCGTGAGGAGGTGGAGATCCTCAAAGAGCAGATTAAAGAGCTGGCAGAGAAGAACAACCAGCTAGAGAGGGAGAACTACCTGCTGAAGAACCTGGCCAGTCCGGAGCAGCTGGAGAAGTTCCAGTCTCGCATCCCTACAGACGTGCTGCTGCCTCTGGACAATCAGAGCGCCCAGGTGACCCCAGACCTACAGCAGCAGCAGCAGCAGACCTGCAACCACAGCACTGGCTCTGCTGTATAAGTGGCTCTGCCTTGGGGCGGGCAGAGCCACTGTCTCCTTATATTAATGGACCTCCTCTTGAATGAAGAAGTGTTTAAAAAATCGCCACTGCTGAGAATCCTTCGAAACAAAGAAGGTGAAGCATCAGGGCTGTAAATGACTGAAGAGGACAGAAAAGAACTGTGGACACTATAAGCACAAAACAGAACTTAAGACGCTCTGATTGGTGTGGTGTCCGGCACGTCCTCTGATACTGTCAAGCTCTTTGTCGTAGTCTTTTTCTGTAGACGAAAGCTAGAGGCTGACTAGACACCGATGAGTTCTCGCTTTCAGACAGAGGGGGGTTTTCCCTGCCAAACCCATCCAGCAAACACCCTTTGCTCTGGAGAGAGACGGGTGAGGAGGTGTTGATTGGGCTGGCCCTGCAGGTGCTAATTAAAGTGTGGGGAGAGGAGACCCATCTGAGACGGTCCTCCAAGTCTCGATGAGAAGAGCCCCATCATGTGGATTTGTCCAGTCTCAAAGTACAAGTTTCAAGGACTCCTAGCCACACATTTCATTATGAGAACTTTTCCTGTACCTACAATGTACCACACGTGTTCATGTACATCTGTTCATGCATTAACAAGAATAATTAACAGGATAAGCCAAGACAAGAGAGGTGGCGGTTAAAGCAGAAATATCCTATTGGAGCTGGTGGACTGGTGTAGTAGACATCAGTATACTGTAATGATTCAAAAAAATATAGTCTTGTATTGTCTGCAGTTGGGGCTTGCTGCTTATGGGGGAAATGAATCCTGCTATGTCTTCTGTTTTTTGTTTGATTCTGAACAAAAATCAGTTGTTTGTATAATAGGAGCAGTGTACAGTGGATTTTTTTGGATAGTAAGGTTGCAGGCATGTCTGCCTAGTTCTTCACAGTAAACTACAATGTGCATAGCGGAGATGGTGAGCAAGCAGGCGCCTGCGTTTCTCGCTGCTAATGCACTCCTGATTTAAGCAGCGTTGTCCAGTACTTATTCTGTTTTGATGCTCAAATGCTGACTTGAAAACGATGGCATGACAACAGTGCCTGTCTGTAGTAAGAAGAACACATTTCCACACTGAGCTCTGTTGTTGTTTTGTAGCTACCAAAGACTTTGACTTTTTCTCTCATAACAGAGACCAAGCAAACCAAGACCGTGTGTAAATTTCACAGGGAGGAGTCTTGTTTATAGCTAGTGCTCAAGTTTTTGTGTTTTGTAAAAATAACAGTTGCTGTCCAGTATCCTTGAAACTGTTTGTTCACTATTGTGTTTGGATACAACTGCACTTTTGCAATAAACCTGTGTTTACATAATTCAGTACACTGATGCGCTTGTTTTTCGGCCAGTCCGTGCACAACACCGATATAGTTTTCATAAAAATCACTGTCAGGTCTCTGAGCCGGAAACAAGGTATTCATAATTTGAAATCTGACACCAATCAGAGACACACTACTGCAGGCAAAGAATAAAAATATATCAGCGTTGTAATTTTCTATGTTTTAACGTATGGCAGGATGGCGAAAACGTATCTCAACTTGCATTCATCCTGTACTTGGTTCTGAGATTTATTTTTAACAAGTATCTTCAGTCTACTCATACAGAAATACAATTTCTTTCTTGATGCAAGTGATAGAAAAATACGTGCACTTTTACTGTACAGATGGAAAAGAGTCCTGACTAGTACATAATGACATGAGTGATGATTGTTGTAAAGCCCCTGGACATAAATTTGTCATAATGGCCTTTAAATAGAACTTGACTCCACAACAATGTGGAAATACAGTGTCTGGGCATCTCGAGACCTGGACTAAACAAGCAAGCAAAACCAGCTTCAGTTTATTGTTCAAGTAAATGACAACTAATTAAATGTGAAATTACTTAGGTGGACACTTAAAGCATGTAGAGTTAAGTGCATCTAAAACAATGCCAAACATTTTATATTGTTGCTGCTTAATTTTCCAGATGCCTCTTGTGCTAATACACTAGTTAAAGGAGCATTCCACTGTGACACCAGAGGTTTGTTTTTAATATTTCCCTCATGGTTGAGTTGTCGAGAGCACAAATTTTATACAAAGCAGACATTCAGTCCCTGGAAAGTATAATTTAATTTCTGGTGTTAACTGAGAACATCTTTGGTATCTTCTCCGCTGAATATCACAAACATAACCTTACATTTTTGAAAACTGGAGCCATGTCATCATGACATCTTTTGAGAGTGTGCTGATTTCTTTTCAGCTTTGTGAGCCTTGTTTATGTTTACTAGGTCCTAAAGTGCATTTAATTTTGCGTACTGGGTCTCTAGAAATCGTCTTACTTAAGTAGACTTTTAAGAAAAAAAATTCAATGTTAGTAAGCACATGGACTTTTTTCCCAAAGTCAAAAACAGGGTGACCACTAATGATAGTGAGGTCATAAAGTTTAGTTTGCCAGTAGTTTGGAATCTGCTGGAAGAAAACTGTTTGTCCGAGTAGCACTTCCACTCAGACACACTGGCAGCCAGTCAGTACAGCTTGTTTGTAACTAGATATGTTGTGTCTTCCCTGGGGCTCAGACCAGGCTCACATCCATCCATCGCTGAGAACAGAGTGACTCAGGTCAACACCACTACAGATTTAATAGCACTGGAGTAAATACAGTCTTCCTCATTGCTCGCTTTTACAGAAGAACCTGTAGTTTCGCTTGGTGCTTTGTGTCAAAACAACAGATTCTATATGAAACTAATGGTCCTGATTAATGCAGCTACTCTGACATACATTTTATTAGTGGTAGGAGGGATGTGCAGTTTGTTGACTGAGGAGGGCATTTGTTCTATGTAGCACAGAGGAAAGGGACAGGTGTTTATTGGCTCTTTTGCAGAAAATAATCAGTCTTTAGTCTTCCTATCCTGATAGCTGAACACATTGTTTATATCAATGAAAAAAGGATGCAAGGTCAGTGACGGCAGGAAGTGGCACTGCACTTTAATCATATCTGTGCTAATGGCTAATGCAGCCGCAATCACAGTGGAAAAATTCATCTGGCAGTACAGCTAGCCTGCCAAAGAACCGAGAGGCTCACAAAACATCTGTAGGCAATTAGGACTTTGGCTTACTTTTTTGCTTTAACACTCTCTGTCATCCTGTTTTGGGACTGGTTTAGCAACACTATGTTCTAGAATCAATCGAGTGCACGCAGCTTTTTGTTTGAAACTGATTCACCATAAATCGCCAGTTCAGCTGAATCTAAGATTAAAATGATACTTCTGAGGACATACAGTATTTGTCATTTGTCATCATGCATGCTGTTGAGGTTTTCTGTGGACCTTTTTTTTATCAGTTGTGTATTTCCATTTCTAACTAGGATGCTCCAAATTACATAACCCATTTTTCAACATGGTGAAATCATACACAATTGCTTCAGAAACCTTCATGTTTTTCACACTTTATTGTGCTGTAGAATAATTATAAACGCATAAAATGGTCATTCAGTAGCCACATCATTCTACATTCAGTAATCTATAATCATAAAGTTAATACAAAAATATTTTCCCAAAGTAGTCAGAACCTTTATTCAGTATATTTTCTATAAGCCCTTTTAGCAGCAATCACAGCTTCAAGTCTCTCTACAGACTTCACACAGTTTATCCCGTTCCTCACAGATCCTCTTAAGCTCCATCAGACTAGATGGGAAGTGTCTGTGAACGTCCACCTTCAGGTCTCTCCACAGACATTCTATGGGATTTAAGTCTAGGCTTTTGCTCAGCCACTCAAGAACAGTCAAAGACTTGTCCTGAAGCCGCTGCTGCATTGTCTTGGCCGTATGCTTTGAGCCATTTCTATGCTGAAAGGTGACCTATGTTTCGGTCTCTGTTAGACCAGTTTCTGCTCCTCAGAAGTACCCACATAACATAATGCTACTGTGGTGGCAGTACTAGCCAGATGATGAGCAGTACCTGGTTTTCACCAGAGAAGGTGCTTCAGATTTTGCCCAAAGAGTTCAGTTTTTGTCTCATCAGACCAGGGACTCTTTTCCCTTATGCTTTGAGAGTCCTTTGGCAAACCTCAGCCAGGCATGTGCTGCCTTTTACTCAAAGTGGCCTCCATCTAGCCGCTTTACCACACAGGCCTGAGTGATGGAGAGCTGCTGAGATGGTCATCCTTCCAGCAGGTTCTCGGCTCTCTGCAGAGGACTTCTGAAGCTCTGTTAGATACACTGTTGGGTTCTTGGTAACCTCCCCAACCAAGACCCTTCTCACCAGATTACTTAGTTGGGCTCTAGGAAGAGCCCTGGTGGTTCCAAACCTCTTCCACTTCAAAATTATTGGGGCCACTGTTCCCCTGGGAACACTCAGCTTTAGAGGTGTGATTTTATACTTCCCTGATCTGTGCCTCATAACTATTTTATGGTAGTGGTCTACAGAGAGTTCCTTGGACTTCATGGCCTGGTTTTTATCCTGACATGCAATGTGAATCGTGGTACCTTATATACACAGGTGTGTCCCTTTATAAACAGTCTATCCAATTTGCTATAGGTGGACTCCAATCAAGTTGACGTACAAATGATACAAGGTTTCAGTTTTTAATTTATAATATATTTGCAAAAATTTCTGAAAACATGTTTTCACTTCCATTATGAGTTACTGGAGATTAGTGAGCAGTTTCATCTATTTCAAATGAAATCTACACCACAATCAAGTGTGCAAAAAGTGAAGGGCTCTGAATACTTCCTGAAGCAACCCTATCAAACACTGATCTCTCTCCCAGTTAAAAATCCACAAGCTGATCTGTACAGTGTGTTCAAATCACTCATTTACTAATTAATAAAGACTTGCATGAATTTTTGTCTCCTGTCAGATTTTCTAAAAAAGCTACACAGAAAATCTGGGTTGGAAGCAGCAGTAATTCCACATCACTTCCCCTACAATAGTAAAAACATGTGACAAGACTGAAGTGTAGACTTAAACATTTGATTGGAGCTTGCTTGAAACCAGAGGGCTGAGAGAAGAGTTTGGGTTGGATTGCTAGTGTTATGCAATGAAAAATAAAGAACATCTGTTCCAGATAGGAATCTAGGGATGATGCTGGGGAAAGTTGCTCTACCCCAGTATGGGTGGGTTTACATGTGGGGAATGATTTAGTCTGACTGTTTTTAATGCAGACATACACAACTTCTGTATCCTTTAAATGTCATCATCTTCATCACGTCAACATTCAAGTTAAAGCAGAATTGATAATGTCAACATTTTTCTGCATGTCATACTTTTATAATGCCTCGTGCACTGCACATTTCCTATAATGTGAACAAGATGCCAATTTTGCAAGAGTTGCAAATTGTTGATGAGAGATGATCATATCAAGGAAAATAAGCCACTATTGGTTTGTTTATAAATGTTTAGTGGCTTCAAGGACACAACTTGACAATATGAATTACAACAATAACAATAATGATACAACTTGACAATATGAATTCATTGATATCTTTCTTCACACTACTTATACTTTTTGCTGTCTGGTCATGGTTTTGTGGCAGTTACTGTTTTACCCATATAATGATGAGTGAACAAAAGTCCTTCCTCTGGAATCTCCTCAAATGTATAAACTTGGGCCACACAGACAAAGCAGTTTTACCACAGGCTGGATGCTGGATATGGCTTTATTCATACACTACATAATCAAATGAGTCCTTTGCTAAGCCTTTGTATACCTGATGTAGCTATATGTTTGTCCTCATACACATAGCATTCTATTTCTGTCCACATTTGACATGGTGGACCAAACAAAAACCCTCCAAATTGTCAACATTAGAAATAAAGTCAGAGGGTTGGAGAGATTGGGTTTTTGGCTCAAAGATAGAAATGTTCTAGAAGTGCTTAGCCTGTTTTTTGTCTGTTACATCTCTCTGTCTAGATCTGGGCAAATGGGATTTTACAGCACACAAACCTCTGTAAACACTCATCTCTGACAACAATCTCCATACAAGTTACTGACCTGATACTCCATACCTGATGAACACTGATGGATTTTAAGTACACACAGGGAAGTCTGTGGATCAAGAAACTTTGTCATGTTTCTAGAACCCAAGTGTAAAATTTTATTACATTTTAGCATGCTTGAAAATCTAGCATCTAAACCTGTTGGTTTGATTTATTACTGTGTATTTATTAAACTGTTAGTTGTCTAGTGATGTTTGTATTCATGGCAGTGTTCATTCTGTTCCTATCCAACCTGAGCAAAGCTATATTAGGAATGCAAGCTTTCCATTTTGCTTTCATAAACACTAAAGGTCATTGGTTACCTTGATTCATGTCACCTCTGCACAGCAAGTACTTGCACATAAGTTACACCCGCACCAACTCCACCCACCAACATGTGACACTCACGTGGTCAGAGGAGAGACAGTTGCACAACCTGCAGAATAGAGAAGTGTACATTTCATCCCCTGTATAGCTGACACATGCTGTAAGAATGCATGTGAACCTAGTAACAAATGAGAGATGTTGAGAGCTAGGTACTTAAAGATGAGACTTCAGTAAACCTCTTCAAATACACAAAGGGAGCAAAGCAGTTTACAGTGTTGAGTTTATAGAAGAGTATGTGGCCATTGTTATGGTCATATTTCTTTCTACCACAGATATGGGTTTGACAGTTAGTTGGTAGAGTTTATGAAGGATTGTGCAACTCTTTTCCACCACTGTGGTCTAAGTGTGGACTCTTTGTGTGGTAAACATCCCTCATCCTCTGTTCTAGTTTTGGGCCTTGTGAAGAAGTGTCCGTGGGACGCAGGAAGTTTAAGATGTAAACAGGGCACGGAATGAACTCCAGACAACCTTACGAATAGATCTGGGTTATAAAGAGCTGACAGAGAGTTTCCTTCCTGGTCTATCATACATGAATGCTAAACAATAACAGTTTTGTAATCTTCTGATAACACTTTGAACATGATGTGATTTTAAAATATGACAGCATCAGTTGAGAAAGCTGACATGTCATAATAGTTCATTTGTGAGGCTTATACGGGTTTGCCTCTTTTTATTATGTGCATGGGCTGGAGATGGTTAAGTGACAGCACTCAACAACAAATCATGACACAGCATGTACAGTGTATCAGAATAGGAAAACACATAATGATAATTAACCATCTTACTATGTCGCTTTTTAATAACATGGGAAAACTGTTGTGAGATGCCAGGCAGCAGTTTAATGTAAAACTAACATAACAACTGTTGCTTTTATGCAGCCATCCTATTTGAACCATACTCACTGTTGCATTTTATTTTATCAAACATATTTCAGTGACACGCTTGTGTCATGTTGTAATCAATGGATTTGTTTTCAGTTACAAATGTATGTGTCTCTGTTACAATAACGTTATCCTCAGAATTTCACTGTTACATATTGTCATTTTTGGTTATCACAATTTATACAAACATAGAAAAAACATATGAACAACTGACAAATCAAGTTAAAGTCTTACAAAAGGCCTTTGTCAGATATTTTGACTTGTCATAGTAGGAAAAACAGAGGCTTTATTGATAACAATAGTAATGGCTCTTTTCTATTCAACTTACTGTAAAGTGAAGTTGTCAACTGCACAGAAATGGCGCTAATGCAACAAATCCCGGATGGTAACATAAAGATATAAAGAAGAAGAAGCTAAAGAACTTTAGCTTTTAGTGTGTTTGTTCAAAGTGCTACAGACGTACAAAGGCAAGAGTGGTGCTCAAAGAGAAAGGATAACCAAAGTTTGGAAAACGAAGTTTCAAATTGGAAGAAACTGGATTCTTTTTTGTTTTTTATTCTGTACCGTTGTCAGTTAACGCGGGCAAAGAGGAGCTACCGTTAGCTAAAAAACGAAAGCGGACACCCTGGCTAGCAGCACAGTGGTAGCTCCTTCGTTACTATGGAGCTATAGACTGAACTTTTCCACATGTGAAGCCAACAATATTGACCAAGACAAATTGTGGAGAACTTTGTGTAGCACAAGCCCAGCAGAATGACACTCAAATTGGTGAGTACAGTCATTATTTTTAGCTGTGGTTGGGTTGCAAGGTACAATGATGTGGTCGCACAGTTGTGTTTACATTAGGCTGTGTTTAAAAATGTACAGAGTCGCTGAGGTCAAGAGTAATCGATGAACTCACAGGTCATAATTATTTTGCTTGTACAGCCAGGGGCCTATTTCAAGAAGGCGGTTTAACAAACTCAGAGTTCAAACCTGAACTCTGAGTTGACTTACCCAGAGTTGGAAAACTCGGAGTTTTCGGTTTCAGAACAGCTGAAAAGAGTTGGTTTAATCAACTCTGAGTTGTTTGACTCAGGCTGCGCCGCGTGCCACGCGACTATAAAAAGCCCTGAACAATGGAGTGAAGAAATTACGAGTCACCATGGCAACAGGACCAAGCCAAAATAGGTCTGCGTTTTTCCCCGACAGAAATGGATGTGCTACTACAAGCATATAGTGACTACGAGCCCATATTTCGTAAAAAAAAAACAAACAAAAAAAACAACACGGCTGCAGCGGCGAAAGAGAAAGAGTTAGCTTGGGGGAAAATAGCTGCCCGAGTCAATGCGTACGTTTACATTTTAATCATACAGTATTCGGTGTAAGTAATTACTAAATAATGTTAGTAATGTTATTATTTGTCACCTGTAAAGTAAGGAATGGTTCCTAATTCTTCAATAATTGAATGAGTAACTTCAGTAATTGCATAAAATACCGATTTTTGTACGAATTAAAAGTGCAGTTTCATGTCTACCCTTTCTTAAAATTCCTATTGTGGTTGATATGGGATTTGTAAAGTAATGATTAATAAATAATCCAGTACGTTTTATGGAGAGTAATTATTACATTAATCAAAATACTTTTTTAAAATTGACCCAACACTGATGTAATAATATAAGAATTGAATTTTAATTTTCATGTAGGTGCAATCCTGCAGGCATAAAAAGAACGTGGCAGCAGCTAAAAATGAAATATAAAAACATAATTCAAACAGGTAAGGCTTGATCATATCATGGGTGTAGACTACCTGACTTTACAAACATTTGACATATTAAATAACTAAATAGCCTGCAGAGTATAGCAGTGCAGCAGCATTTTCAACATGGGTGTAATGTTGTTTTCATACAATTAAATCATTTGACTACTACTCAGCCAACAGAAAGAAGGCAGAGGCCAGAAAAACTGGTGGAGGCCCTGCACCACCACCACTGACACATGCAGAGGAGATGGCCCTCAGCCTAAACACTGGAAAGCCAGTGGCTGAGGGAATTCCTGGAGGGAGTTCATCAGAACCAGTCACTCCCCAGGATACAAGTGCATTCATTACATGTAAGAGGCCTACCTATATATTCTATTTTTTACATAGGCTACTTTTGATATATCCATTTATTACACTCTGGGTTGGG